CAAAAAAAAAAAAAAAAAGTGAAAGGAAAGATAGCAACTAGGTAGTGTCTCACACAACTTCTAATCCTGCCTGCACAATCACAAAAGCTATTGTTTCCTTGAACTCTATTTACTGAAACAGAATAAACAAAGGAAATCAACCTTTAGCCCTAAGAAACAATGACCTCTCCCTTCTCTTGTTTTTCAGGGCTTCACCCTGTCTTCAGAAAAGAATTACAAGCTCTCAATGCTTAATTTTCAATCTCCTTTTGCTAAGCAAGGACTCAAGAGCCTGTTCCAGACAACAAACCTCCAGATTCTGGTAAGAGATTTCCCGAAGTCCTTGTAGCCGGTAGTAAGACCCTAGAAAACAGTCCAGGACTTGACCAGGAAATTGATTAAAGTGTTCAGTGAAGTTTTCAATATAGTGAACCAGGCTGCCCAGAGGTAGCAGACTAAACCAGGATCGGAAGAGGTATTCATCTATACTCAATAAATGCTTCTTTTCCATAAGCTGAAGTAATTGACTCCTACATAAGAAAAAACAGGGTCAGAGAAAAGGGATACATTAAGGTTAGTAAAACAGATGAGTTAAGACAAAGGAAAACAATGCTAGAGAGTGATCTAGAAAGTCTAGATTTCAAAAACGAGTTAAATACCACATGGAAAACAAAAATAAGGAGGAATGAATCAAATGAAAAGTAAACAATGGCATGTTAAGAATTTACTGAAGCCGGCTCGGTGGCTCAACCTGTAATCCCGCGCCTTGGGTGGCTGAGGTGAGTGGATTGCCTGAGCCCGCGGGTTCGAGACCCGCCTCGGCAACTTGGCAAGACCTCATCTCTGCAATAAATCAAAAATCAGCCGGGCATGTTAGCGCGTGCCTGTAATTCCGGCTACTCGGAAGGCTGAGGCGGAAGGATCGCCAGAGCCCATCAGGTCAAGGCTGCGGTGGCCAGGAGCGGCCACTGCACTCCAGTCTGGGCGACAGAGTGAGACTCCAACTCAAAAACAAAACAAAACAAAAAAGAATTCACTGAAATGGAAGAACTTTGAAGACATTTTGCTGAGAGAAATAAGCCAGACACAAAATGACAAATACTGTATGATTTCACTGATGTGAGGTCCCTGGAGAAGTAGAAATCACAGAGACAAAAAGTAGAACAGAGGCTGCTAAGGGCCGGGGAGGGGAATGGAGAGTTAGTGTTTAAAGGAGACAGTTTCAGTATAGGAAGATGAGAAAGTTCTGGAGATGACGGTGATAGTGAATGTGCTTAATGCCGCTGGGCTATACATGTAAAAGTGGTTAACATGGTAAATTGTACATTATATATATTTTACCACACTAAAAAAAAGAATTCACAAGAATTAGGCCTTTTGGTGAATTACTCATGAGTTGTCTAGGATCACACAAGCCAACAGAGCTCAGGAAAGACCCTTTAATAATGCTGATTCTAGAACATTGTACTGGAGACCAAAAAAGTTGACAATAGGAAATAAATCAAGCAAGGTGCCACAAAAGTGACGTAAGTTATGAAAAGCATATTGATAAAGATTCCTGTATACTAATGGCTGCTTTTACTTGAAAGACTGAATCTTTAAGAACAATGCTAGTGTTTCTCATTGTCCAGTGTTATCAGCTAACTTTCTTTTAGACAGTCTATACACCCTTGAAGGGTAGTTAAAATAAATGCAATTACACAAATCATTTAAGTTGGCTTTAATTTCAGAAGCTTCCAATGATAATGAAAAAACAATAACTGAATTTAGCTCACTATTTTAATCCCTAAAAGTCCATAGGCTAGCTCCTATTGGACTCAAAGGATAACACAGCCAGACGGCCCTTGGAATTGTTTCATCAACAAAAGACAAGATAAATGGGGGAAGTTATCTGTGCTTGGAAATTAGTGGTAGTTATCAATGTTTTCATATTTAATTTGGATTTATTTTTTATTTAAGTCTTATACTAAAATTTGATTTATAATAATTTTTTTTACAGATTGTGCTTTGTGTCTGCTCTGAGAAATCTCTTCTTACCTCAGGATTGGGTTATTTAGAAGTGCTGTTAAATTTCCAAATATTTAGGGGTTTTTCGGAAGTTTTTCTATTAACTCAACTATGGTTAAGGAACTTACACACTCTGCACAACTTTAATACTCTTTGATTTATCAAAGCTGTTTTGTGGCCCAGAACATGGTCTGTCTCGGTGTAAGTTCAAGTACACATGAAACTATGTACATTCTATTGTTGGGTGGGGTCTCCTACAAGTGTCAGTAAGGTCTACTTGGTCGGGAGTGTTGTTCAGGTCTATATATCCTCACCGAATTTCCCATCAGTCACTGGGAGAGGAGGCTGAAAGCTCTGAATAGAATCGTGGGTTTACATATTTCTCCTTTCAGCTTTTGCAGTTTTTGCTTGGGCTTAACCATCTTGGTGTCTGATTACTTTTCATAACATCTGCTCTATATTTCTCTGCTATCCCTGTGCTGACATTTTAAATTAGTGAGATATATTATTTTTTCATTTATTTCTATTTTATTTAATTTTTTGAGTCAGGGTCTCACTCTGTCACCCAGGCTGGAGTGCAGTGATGTGATCATAGCTCACTGCAGCCTTGAATTCCTGGGCTCAAGTGATCTTCCTGCCTCAGCCTCCCAAGCAGCTAGGGCTACAGGCGTGTACCACCATGCCCAACTAATTTTTTAAAACGTTTTTGTAGAGGGGGTATCTTACTTTGTTGTCCAGTCTGGTCTCGAACTCCTGGACTCAAGCAATCCTCCTGCCTCAGCCTGCCAAAGGGTTGGGATTACAAGTGTGAGTCACCCTGGCAGCCCTTTTAGTTTTGCAACTGTGTGTTACCTGTCCAGAGAAAAGTCCAGGGCAGCAGTTTCCAACCTGGGGCAATTCCTGCCCCTCCTCCACCCAGAGAACATCTGGTGAAGTCTAGAGACATATTTTATTATGACAACTGGGAAACGGGGGCCCTGAGAACTGGCATCTAGTGAGTGGAGGCTAGAGATGCTGCTAAATGTTCCACAATGCATAGGTCATTCCCACAACACAGAAGGATTTAGCCCAAAAAGTTCAATAGTGCTCAAGAGACCATGCTCTAGAGTTGCAGCTTGCATCGTTTAACAAAATTATTTCTTAAAACTGTGGTAAATATTACATAAAATGTATCAATTTAACCATTTTAGGTGTATAGGTCAGTGTGCTAATTCCATTCACATGGTTATGCAACCAGTCTCCAGAACATTTTATCCTGCAAAACTGAAACTCTAAACCCATAAAACAATAACTCTCCATTCCCTTTCCCCAGCCCCTGGCAACCTCCATTCTACTTTCTGTCTCTATGATTTTGACTATTCTAGGGACCGCATATGGGTGGTATCATAAAGTATTTGTCCTTTTGTGTCTGACTTATTTTCAGCTAGCAGAGTGTCCTCAAAGTTCATCCATGTTGTAGCATGTATAAGAATTTCCATACCTTTAAAGGCAGAATAATATTCCATTGTATGCACAGACCATATTTTGTCTGTCCATTAACCTGTTGAGTACTTGAATTGTTTCTACATTTTGGCTATTGTGAATAATGCTGCTATGAACACAGATATAGACATATCTCTTTGTGTCCCTGCTTTCAATTATTTTGGTTATATATCCAGGAGTAGAACTGCTATCTCATAGGGTAATTTTCTTTTTAATTTTCTGACAAACCACAGCACTGTTTTCCATAGCAGTTGCACCAATTTACATCCCCACCAACAATGTACAAGGATTCCAATTTCTCCACGTCCTTGCCAACACTTCTTATTTTCTGTGTGTGTTTTTTGTTAATAGCAGCCATCCTAATGGGCAAGACGTGGTGTTTCATTATGGTTTTGATTTGCATTTCTCTAATGATGAGTGACACTGGGCATCTTTTCCTATGGATGCTTATTGGGCATTTGTATCTCTTCTTTGGAGAAGCTTCTATTCAAGAAACGTCTATTCTGATAATGTGATACTTCGTGCTTTGGTCTCTTGCTCAGGATTGCTTTGGTTATCCAAGAACTTTTGTGGTCCCATACAAATTTTAGGTTTTTTTTTTTTTCTATTTCTATGATGAACATCACTGGTATTTTGATGCACACTACAACGGTGCAGTTTTTAATGACACATACATGGCCTGTTATGAACTAATTTATATTATATGCCTAATTAGTTGAGTTTTCCCCTGGCCTTTGAAAAGGTGCTCATTCTAGTGTTGCTGAATAAACTGTTACCATGTGGATAAGACAATCATATTAGTCTGAAACAGCTCAACTGGCAAAGAGTTTGAAATTGGTAAAATGTCAGAGCAAGAAAAATTATCTAAATAATTAAAATGTGATCTTATAAAGATTAGAATGTGACTTTAAACATGCACAAGTAACTAAATTAAATATGTAAGTATATACTTAGGTATTTAAGTATATGTCTGACCTTTCAAGGACTTTTTCTGGTACTATTTTCTCAGGATAAAGGGGATGTCCTTCTATTTGGATCAGGGATCAGCATCATATATACTACCCTTACTCCTCTCCTATCAGCCAGCATTATGAAAAGGTGGAAACAGGTTACAATACACAACACCTTCGACCTAGCAGTTCCACTTGTGGGTATTTATCTCAAGCAAATAATTGGACAGGAAAAATATAAGGATGCTCATCAAAGCATGCTTACAAAAGAAAACTGCAAAAACTTTCCAAATGATCAACATCAAGAAACTGGCTAAATAAAAGTCGGTATGAGCCGGGCTCGGTGGCTCAGCCTGTAATCCCGGGCCTTTGGGAGGCTGAGGTGAGTGGATTGCCTGAGCCCGCGGGTTTGAGACCCGCCTGGGCAGGTGAGACCCCATCTCTATAATAAATCAAAAAATCAGCCGGGCGTGGTAGCGCGCGCCTGTAATTCCGGCTACTCGGAAGGCTGAGGCGGAAGGATCGCCGGAGCCCAGCAGGACAAGGCTGTGGTGGCCGGGAGCGGCCACTGCACTCCAGTCTGGGGGCAGAGTGAGACTCCAACTCAAAAAAAAAAAAAAAAAAGTCGGTATGTTCTTCAGCTGGAACACTAAGCAGTCATGATCATAACAATGTAGATATGTACTTACTGACATGAAAAGCTGTTCACAAAATGCTGATAAGTAGAAAAGGCAGGTTGTAAAACAGAATAAATAATGTGTCATTTGTTGTTGTTGTCGTTCTTTTAAGTATTTAGAGACCCACACACCCACATTTGGACAAAACCTGGAAATATGTATGCCCCAATGTTGCCAATGATCACTACATCTGGGGCTGTGGGTAATGTTTGTATCTTCTTTAGAACTTTTTATATGTTTAAAAATGTGAAAAGAAGCATATGTTAGTTCTGTCATTAGAAGCAGGAATGAGTTTACCATCAAGTCCACCAGGGCTCTGGCAGCACAGTGTAGGGATCATCATGCCCACATCTACATATGGTGTGGCTCTACAACTTACTGGTCTGGTTTTTTTTCCCGAAACTGTGAGAAGGATATTCCTTCGAGGGCGGCCCAGGTGTCCTCAGGCTGACGCACGGAGTCCTTCCCCTGAGGGGACAGCTCCATGCAGCAGTGTAGAACAGGCAGAGTGTACAGCCAGTGGGGGACCTGTTTGTCCATGCACCTTTGACACAGGTTCACCAGGTATGCACGCCAGCTGTAAGGGGAACAAAGACCCCACAGTGAGCTGAGATGGCCAGGGGGTCATCTCCCTGTGGGTTTGATGTCCCAAAGGGAAGTGAGCACTTCACATACAAAGTGGAGTACTCTGAGTGGCTGAGCAAGAGTGACTAGCCTGGGAGACGCATGGTTGCTGGGAGACAGGGTTTCCCTTGGCCTCACCCAGAGCACCAGGTCCTTTATGGCCCTTGCCGAATCCCCACAACAAACTCCCAGGGGAGGGGAGGCGAGGGATCTGAGATGCAGAGATCACAACTAAGTAATCGACACAAGGTCCTGCCATCCTGCAGTGGAAAACCTAAATACAAAGCAACTTTTTATATGCAAGGGATGAACCTATAAACATCACACGGTCCATTTCCTACAGTCACAAAATATTCATGCTTCTTAATACTTTGAAACACCTGTACCAACTTTGAACATTGCCTTGCCACCATTCCCCCTCCTTTTCAAAACGTACAGTGTTTAGTCGAGTGCTGTACATTTGTAAAACCAAGGGACAGACATTCTATAAGACCTGCTGGTCAGGAAAGGCCACCTAATGTTCTTCTCAAGTTCAAATCAACACAGTCACTGAAAATGCGGTGAAAAGACCCTGTGATCATCAGAGCCTGGGAGTTCTGAGTAGGTCTCCCCACTGCCTTGTCACCACCAAACCTCCCAGGTCCAGATCAGTAACACTGCATTTCCTCAGCTAAACACAGCACTGGCAAAAGCTGTGAGGAGGATATCCATTATGCTTCTACAGAATCCTTGAGTGGGATTCCCTAGGCAGGCATAGTGCTATGCCTCCAAATACACACACACAGAGACAGTTCATGATACAACACAAAATTTTACAAAGCAGGGTATTCAATAGAATATAGAATTTAATAAAATTAAATGACAGGCATCGCCGGGCTCGGTGGCTCAGCCTGTAATATCGCGCCTTTGGGAGGCTGAGGTGAGTGGATTGCCTGAGCTGGCGGGTTCGAGACCCGTCTGGGCAGCATGACCTCATCTCTACAATAAATCAAAAAATCAGCCGGGCATGGTAGCGCATGCCTGTAATTCCGGCTACTTGGAAGGCTGAGGCGGAAGGATTGCCAGAGCCCAGCAGGTCGAGGCTGCGGTGGCCGGGAGCGGCCACTGCACTCCAGTCTGGGCGACTGAATGAGACTCCAACTCAAAAATAAAAAATAAAAAATAAAAAAATAACAGGCATGCTAAGGAAAAGTCTAGAGGAAAATAAATACTGAAAAGACAACAGTGAGCAGTAAGACTATGGGGTTTCACCCCCATAGTTTTTGTTTCTTCCTTGTCTGCTTTCAATCATGTCAAACATTTATTTTTGTAATCAGATAGAATAAGTAGATAGCTAGAAAAATAAATAGAATTTTTTTAAAAAGCTATTAAAAAAACTCTTTTGACAAAAAATAATAATACTACCTCTGAGATGTCTTGAGGATGTGGCTTAAGTCATTGCGAAGGTCATCTGGTGAACTGGTGCTCGGGCTCAAGAGGTAACAGAGTGAGACCAGGTCACTTTCTGATAAGGGAAAGTTACATTTTTCCACTGAGAACAGGGCAATTAGACCCATTCCCAATTTACTCTTCACTGGGCAGTCTTTAGGCAGAGAGTTCCCACTTTTTCCACTCAGAAATGGTGCCATTTGCTTTTTCAAATACTCCCACAGGTCTTTCTTCACCTGATGGCAGAAGAAAAGGAAGTTGCATGAACCATGGAGTTAAATTCAGCAGAGATGTCCAGAGGTGCCCTTCACAACAGCTGGGCCAGGTAAGAATCATCATTCCCAGATTTATACCCACACCATCCCCACCAACTGTGGAATGCACAGGAGCACCCGTGGTGCAGCCCAGAGACCCAGGCATGGGGGCTCTCAGGCAGAGCCCTTGATGCTTACCAGGGCTCAACTGCCACCTCAGAAATGGCTCCAGGTCTGCCTCTAATCCACCTGGGCTACAGGGTAGTTGAAGGGGCAGTGAAGGAGGATCTACTCCTTCCTTCCACTCTGAGGCCAGAGGAGTCCTGGGGCTCAGTGCTGGGGGTGGGGCTCAGACATGAAATCAGGAGAAGGAAGAAAATGGCGAGGACAGAGAAGAGAATTCCCAATAGGCGGCACTGGGAGAAAGGGCTGGAAGGTCTGCCTACCCCCAAGTGCACCCTGGCCCAGAGTCAAGGGATCATTCGGACATTAGTAGATCAGGTGATGCTGCCTGAAGATAGAGCGGCTGGTGACAAAAGGGAAGTCTGATACCTCCTCCTCTCCATACTGCAAAGTGTTCCACTGCAGTGCACGTCCTTCATAAATCATAGGGACTCGGACAACAGAGTAAAACTGCTGGAACTGGATGAAAAAGTTGTTTAAGTTGATAGTGTCCCAGGTCTGGAGGATGCTGAAGATGCTGTCCAGCATGACTCTGGCGGCAAATTGCTTTCCTTTCACCAGATCCTTCCTTGTCCCATCTGTTATGTGGTTCATGAATTTCTGAATCTTCCCAGGAGGTTTCATGCAAACTATGTCATCATACTGATGCCAGTCTAAGAAGGACAAAAAGAACAATATTGTACCTAAGATCACCAAAACCCATGAGACCTAAATACTACTCTAGAATGCTGATCATGACTGGCAGAAACACAGAGTGAAATGGGCCAAAGGAAGGGCATAAAGATAGGAAAACCAGAGAACTGGCAAACCAGCGATAGCCAGCACTCGCTCCACCAACTCCTATCCTCAGACGAGCAACAAGGGGGTCTGGGATCTCCACCTCGTGCAAACAGATATCCTAGATGTCCCATATGTGAATGGAAAACCCAAGGTAACAGAATTCAGCAGACCTGAAAATACTTGGAACAGATCTCTGTCTAAATATATAGCTCAACAGACTTGGTCAATGAGTTTCTCAAACATGATCATGGAGGGTAGGCATGATATACTGAGACTGCATCACTCACTCACTGAGCAATATCTTAGTCAATTACTTAGTTGGTGCAAGTGCTGGTTTCCTCTATACTAGGAACAGGGACACAGACCCCATAAAGGATGGTGCATATTACCCAGCAGCCATAGACAGCCCTTGGCATGGTACCCAACACAAGGCAAGGGCTGAATTCACAACTACTCTTAGGATTCACTGCATTTGCGTATAGACCTAAAAGACCAAGAGAGGTCAACTGTAAAATAATTAGAAAACAAAGAGGTCAGTAAGATGGTCAGAGGCCACAGGAATACAGACAAATAGAAGTGAAAATCATTTCGAATTCAGAAATATATGGTGGGCATGATGTTCCTTGGTTAAGTGTTTGTTCAGTGTTCCAAGGTACAGACTCCAGGAATGGCCAACCTGGATGTTTCTGCCATACCTATGAAGAACATGTGGACCCTGTCCCATTCCTTGGAAAGCAGAGAGTGCAAGGAACCAACAACGTCCTTTGTTTTGCTGTGTGTGGCCTAAGGTGCCCCACCAATATCAACAGCGACCAGGGCTTGCACTTTATCAGATACAAAATGCAAAAATGGGCAGAGGCCCTGGATATTTACTGGCATTTCCATCTGCCATATGACCTTGAAGCAACAGCAGCGGCAGGAGATGTACTCTCCAGCTCTGTGGACATGCCGCCTAGGCATGTGTCAGGCAGCACTCACACCCTGAGTGAGCATGTGTGTTCTCGTCACCTGACACATCTGCTCTTTGACACAAGGACCTGATGTGCTCATTAATATCCAGGTAGACAGCGTATGGGAGCGCACACCTTTGCCCCAACCTGAAACTCAAGGCAAACTGCTACTGCCCTTGCCACAGGACTTACCTATGGGGGCACATGATGACATGGCCCTGGAAAGAGCAAATGCCCTCCATGGTTCGTTTCTTCCACTCCACAGAGGAAGGGACTAAACTAGGATATACAAGTCAAACCTATTTCATCTCCTACCTCCCTCACCCT